ACAACAGCCATCACCAAGAAACAGTATGGATTGGGGCATCGTTAACCTCCACATCTCTGCATTTTCTCTGCATGTGCTACAGCCTTTCCTAAGAATGCAAACCCCTACCCCATTCCAGAGGAGGAAGCAGACTAATTTTATCATGGAGTTAGCAGGGGTGTGGGGACCCTTGTCCCATAGAAATACACCATTCCCCTCACTCCAGCTCCCAACAGCCAGCTCTCAATGCCTGAGACAGAGTGATGACAGGAAGACCTCCCCTGGGATACTGTCACCCTGGAAAACCAAATAGCAAGGTTTCCCTAAGGATCAGGAAATGTCCTAAATCCTATATTCCTAGCAAAGCGAGATTTGAGAGTTTTGCAGACACAAGCTCTATATGGGTCAGAGAGAAGTCAGCAGCAGGGAGGTGCCCACCTGCACACAGGTGGCCCTCACCTGCCCAAATCAGCAGTGAAGAAGCAAGTGTCTCTAAATGAAATCCTAATCAAATGGCATAATGTAACAAAATACACAGGAAAACTACTGAAAATTACTGAATAGTCTTTAAAATATGAACATGGACAATGCCAATATATGTAAATATGCACACAAACTGAAAAAGTGAAGCACCAAATGGAAGATAAGCACCAACTATCATCCTCTCTAAAGTGGACCAGTAGCAACTAAAGTCAGAAGTGAATTCTGCAATACTCAATCAGATTGGTGGATGCAAAGTTCCTTTACTTTACTCCTGAGTGAGTAATGTTTAATGGGTCTCTCATAGGAACTCACTTTTCTCCAATATCTTAAAACTAAAGTGAACCCAGAACCCAAAAGACAACCTACCCTAGGCGGGGGGGCGGGGGGGGGGGGGGGGGGGGGGGGGAGGACACGACACGACACACACAACTGAGTAGGAGGGGCCTGGGCACCTGCTCTCCAAGCTGCCACCAGGGGCCATCAAGCAATGCCCCCTCTCCTGTGATGTGCCAGTTCCAGACTGTGGCTCAAGGCCAGAGGCTGAGCATCCTAACACAGAGAAAAGTTTCTCAGACTCCAACAGTCCTCCAGAAAGTTGTTCAGACCTTCACAGGTCCCAGTTAATGCATCTCTAATCTGTATTTACCAACATGGCATGGGTAATGGGGGATGGGGGGTGGGCAGAGAAGATCATGAGCCACCTGCTCATTCTTAGTCTTGTCGGTGGCACACAACTAGAAGCAACTTAATGTCCATTATCATCATGGGAGCAACTAGTTAAATTGTGGGGAGGGCATATTATTCATCCATTAGGAGAAAAATGGACTAGATGCACATGCAGAATGTGAACGGTCTGAAAAATATAGGGCTGAGAGAAAAAAGTGGAAACAGAATGGGCCCTATATAAATTCATAATGCACACAGTGCTGAGAAACTGCCACCGCCAAGAGGAGCCTAAGGGATCATGACCACAAAATGCAATGAGGTGTCTAAGATGCAATCCTGGGACAGAAACAGCACAGTAGGCAAAAACTAAGGAAATCTGAATAAAGTATAGTTATCATTTTATAGTTATCATTTTAGTTAATGATAATGTATTGATATGGGTTCATTAGTAGTGTTATATGTACCATATTAATGTAGATGCTAATAATAGGAGAACTGGGTAGAGGGTATACGGGAACTCTGTCCAATTTTTCTGTAAATCTAAAACTGTTCTAAACAATAAAGCCCATTTTAAAATGGAAAAAAAATACGTAAAGCAAGAACGATACTATACATTTCCCATAACCACAAAGCATTGGAATAATTACCTGTGGAGTGAGCAGGCAGTGAAGAGTGAGGGGAGATATTTAAATAAATAAGGAGAGGGGGGTCCTTGTGCAGACCAATGATAACAATGCACTATGATTGAGAAGTGCGATAAACTCAATTCTTTGCAGCAGAGATCCCAAAACTAATAACAATAATACATTTTTAGAGGGAAGGAGAGAGAGAGATTGAGAAAGAAAGAGAGAGAGAGAGAGAGAGAGAGAGAGAGAGAGAGAGAGAGAGAGAGAATACAGTAGGTCCTGATGGCTACATGAATGTTGGGAGTTCTGGTGACAGAAGGGGGAGCCAGCGAAGTTGAAATAGCCCTAGGAAGAAGGAGTTAGATAGACTTTGAAGGCAGGGGTGGGGACTGCACCAGCTTTTGGTGGCAACAACAATCCAGGATCCACTCCACAGCACCATCTAACACTGGTCAATCCTAATTCCCAGCCAAAGCCAGGAAAATCCAATAGCAACTAAAATAAGACATGATGGAAGGCAGCAGAGATGGGCAGTGATACTATTAGTAATAGTAGTAAAAGTCAACAGGACAGTTATATTTGAATTTGAGATCAACAACAAATAATTTTTAGTATAAGTATAGCCTCAATATTGCATGGGACACACTTATCCTAAAAATTATTTATTGTTCAAAATTCAAATTTGACTAGCCATTGTGAATTCTTATCTGCTGAATCTGTTAACTTTACATAGGAATCATAGCAAATACTGTTCTAGATATTTTATTTGTCTTGTTTCACATTCATAACAACCCAATGAAGAGCGTATTGTTATTTTCACTTTATAGATATGAAAACTTTGACTCAAAAGGATCTAGTCATTTGCCCAAGAATGTAAGGCTGATATATGGCAGGCCTGGGATGTGAACATCTGTACTCTCACTCCAGAGTCCATGTTTTTTTTTTAATCTTTATTGTTTAAAGTATTACATATGTCCCCATTTTCCCCTATTGACTTCTTCCATACTGCTCTCCCACCTTACCCCAGGCCTTCACCAACCTATTGTCTGTATCCATGGGTTATACATATATACATACAAGTTCATTGATTGTTCTCTGTACCCCACTCACCCTCCCCTGCCTTCCCTCTGAGGTTTGACAGTCTGTTTGATGCTTCTGTGTCTCTGGATCTAACAATACAGACAGTCCTCAGGTTACGTCAGACTCAATGGACGTACGTCGTTTTGTGGTTACGTCGCCATCTCCCATTTATTTATTTTAAACAAAAGTTCCGTCATTTCTACGTATGTACATATGTGCTTTATGTTTTTTATTATCTATTTACCACAAGTAAAGGTCAGGAATTGTTTATCTTTCTTTTAAATTTTTTTACTCTTTCACTTCATTACTGTTGTGTGTGTGCTCCATGTGAGTGACATAGGTGCTTATGTAGGTGGGTTCCGACTTACTGCGAAAATCGCATTACTTCGCATGGTAGGAACGGATTTCCCATGTAACCTGAGGACCTACTGCACACATCTTGAGCACAATGCTTCCCAGCTGAGCAGGGAAACAAAGTGGGGCCTCCACACCCTGACACCTACAGGCCGGTGTGTGTACTGCAGCCTCGACATAATGGTAGTGCCAAAAGTTCTCTGGCCCTCAAAACATAGGACTACCTCAAGAAATCTTCCCACCAGACCCCAATTAGAGACACCAAGTGAGCTTTGCGTTTTAAAAAGTAAAAATCAGCACCCTCACAACAAGGAACCCCAAGCATCCCTAAAAGAGAGCACTTTCCCTACATTGGGGAAAAGAATAACGAGAGAAGTAGCTCCTGGCTTAAGGGTCTGGATAAGCAGCAGGGTCAGCACAAAGAAGGTCTGAGTCAGGCCACATGCCATCCTGCCTGGAGACAGAGAAATGTATGAATGAACTCTGGGGGTCCCTTCCAGTTTGGGGACAACCTTGATTCTTACAAAACAGTTTCTGATGAGAATGGCACTGCACCCCTCTACATGACACCTCTAAAAAGAATCAGAATGAGTATTTATTGAGCACCTACTATGTGCCAAATATTGTGCTGAATGTCCTCATTACCCTGACCTAATAATGGGACATGTAAAACTAAAATCCATAGGGGTGTCTATTATATGAGGAAGCTGAGACTTGGGGAGATCACTTATTTATTCAACTAACATGAGTTAAGCACCTACTACTTTATTGTTTAGACTCTGTATTGGGTGCTGGGGATACAACAGTGACCCAAATAAGACTCCTGTCTTGATGGAGCAGGTGGGTCACAGATTATAAAAACAAATAAACCTCTCACGTTATTTCAGCTAGTGGGGCTACATGTGATCAAGACATGTAAAGCAGGATCAAGGAACAGAGTGGTATTCTAGCTAGGGTGGTCAGGAAAGATGTGTGGAAGGAGGTGGCATTTAAGCAGAAGTGTGGAGTAGGGGAGTGAGTATGCCCAGGTCTGGAGAAGGGTACCGAGGCAGAGGGAACAACCAGTACAAAGGCCTTGACATGAGGATGGCTAACCCACACAAGATAAGGCTGGTGGGCTGGAGCGGGTGCAGGAGGATGGGAGGAGTAGAAAATCAGTTTGGAGAGTATGGTGATAGCAGGTCATTTTTAAAGGATCACTGTGGTGTGGAGAAATGGATAGGTAAATGAATTAATAAATGGATGGATGAAGGAATTGATGAATGGATGGACAATAGACAGATATGTAGATAAGTGAATTTCCATGGTTTCCCTTAAGATGACTACTGCCCAGAGGTGAGAATATATATAGCTCACATGTGTAGTTCCCAAATAACCAACTCCCTCAGGGTCCCAGGCAAGCACATGCCTTAGTGAAATAGAGACTGTATATTGGAATTTTGATCCATAATTCAACAGGAAAACAGGGTCTTCATCCCAAGGAAACCATTACAGAGAAGGCCATAGGATGGGGTCTGAGAACACCAGGAAGAAATGTCCTGCCTTCAGTCCCTACTAGGCTGACTCCCACATAAGTGCACACACACACACACACACACAACCCTACTACCTGGGATCCCCTAGGTAGAGTTAGTAGCTATACCAAGACTCTTTCTCAAGTCCTTGGGCAAGAAAATCTGTTTTTTCCACCAGAAAAAAAAAGCCACCTTTCAGAACAAACCCAAGACTCCCTACAGATGACACTGGTCACGAGGAACCCAGCCCTGCAGGGTCATCCCATCCCACAGCCCTGTTACACCTGCCCAACCTCACCTCCACGTCCTTCTCAAGCTCCAGCCCAGCCTCCATCAGGTTGTGCTCAAACTCCTCCCGCTGCTCCTTCCTCTCCTCTTCCAGGGCATCCAGCCGCCCCAGCTCAATGTCACGAGAGCTCCCAGCATGGGGCTCCTTGCCAGTCTCCCCATTGGAGATGATGGCCAGTGACTGGCCAGGGGAGCTGTGGCTGGGATGGGCCCCACGTTTCCGGTAGTGGTAGGCCAGCACGTAGTCAACCTTCCTTTGGTTGTCATAGAAGTGCATGCGACTCAGAGGGGCCTCCGAGGGCACTGGCTCATTGGCATCCAGGTAGTTGTTGATGACCTGGACAGAGAAAACGATAGAGAAAGGAGTGAGAGACAGAGGATGCAGTCCTTGCTCTGGGCCCAAAAAAAATACACTAGGAAGCAAGCCCCTTAGGCCCCGAGGCCCCAACTGCCCCAGTTTAAGGACAAGGTGGCCTAAATTCATCTGCCATACCCACCCCACACAGCCCTCCACCCACTTGTCCACAGCCAAGGCATGGGTGCCTTCAGACCTGCTCCAGCCTTCATGCACACATGCATGCTCACATACAGACTGCACACACAGCACCAAACCCATGCACAGCCCCACTACCTGCCTCCACACACAGAGCCCCAGATTCATGTGTACACAGTCAGTCACACAGCTCTCTGCACCAGCACTCCTGCATGCACACCTGTGCACACATATATCACCCAAGTGTATTCTGACATGCACACAGCTCTCCACATGCACAGTGGCACACCCACCTCCTTGCAAATCTTTAACACTCATACACACACACACACACACACACTCAGAGTACTCACTGGCAGGTTCTCTGGATCCATTGGAACAAAGGCCAATTTTTGGTCACCTGGCCAACCCCCACCTCCCACTCTTCGGGGATTCACTATACACTATGCCCCTCACAGCCCCACATCATCCTCTTCCTCCTCCTTTCCAGCCTCTGGTGGCAGCAAGAGACTGACTCCTGCTCCCGTCCACCTGTGGAGATGGGACATTGAAAGAAGAGGAGAAAGAAAGAGGCGGAGCAGAGGAGAAACCTGCCTCCCCTTTGGGTGTTTCCCTGTTTATTACTGGCTTGATACCCAGCTGTCTCAGCAGCCACCTGAGAGGTCACCTGGGCAACCAGGCACAGGGAAAAGCCTCCAGAGCCACCACAGCAGAGGTGGGAGGGGAGCTGCAGAGTCTGCAGACCGACAGATGGGATCACCGGGCCTCTCACTCTCACACCTCTTCCTTCCAAGTCCTCTGACCAAAAGACTCCAGCATAGCTGGGACATTATACTGTCATGACTTATAAAGAAAGGAAAGGAAAATGGGCCTAATAAAAAGTTTCTCTCTCTCTCTCTCTCTCTCTCTCTCTCTCTCTCTCTCTCTCTCTCTCTCTCTCTCTCTCTCTCTCTCTCTCCCACACACACACACACACACACACACACACACACACACACACACCTGCCCCCCCAAGTGAAATTTCCCCAGTCATGAGGCTCCCCTTGGCCATCCCCACAAGCCCAGTACTCACGGAGCTGCTGTGGGAGCTCTCTTCATCAGACAGCTGGCCAGAATCTTGGTTGGAGCTTCCCTGTAGACCTGTGGCTGGGGGACCCGGCACCTTGAGGTGTTGCTGTCCTTGTTTGTCGCCCTGGCTGCCCCTGGCCACTGCACGAGGGCTCAGCCTGCGTGGGGAGCCAGGGAGCAAGGGGATGTCTGTGAGAGGAAAAGACAAAGCAGGCAAAGCCACTTCAGATGATAGGAAAGCCAGGACACAGAGGAGCTGAGGCACTGAGGGAAACACAATGGGTAGTCCTAAAAAAAATGGCATGTCTCCTCAGAGCCTTGGTAATTCAGGGTCACACTGGCCATAGGGGAGAAGAGAATGGACATGGAGCCTGGAACTACCAGCAGGAGCCCCTGTGGATGATTGCTATTATAATCTCTTATGATACCCAGACAAGAGGGTGGCATCAGGGGAGCCAAGGTAGGTGGAACACTGTCTGCACACACATCTGGAATTAATGCCAAAGACTTAGGCTGAGGTCCTCTCCCGGGACAGCCAGACTAGCCAGCACCACTCCTCGAGGAAAGAAGGAGCAAGGACAAACCAATGGTGAGCCCGCTGAGGGCAGAAGTGTCCTCTGACAAAAGGGCAGCCTCCAATGCCCTTGAGGGGTCCCCACACACCTTCTGGCTCCCCCAAGGCCCCAGAGCTCATGGCCCTTCCTGGATCCTCCCCACAGCAGCCCTTCTAATGACAGCACTGCAGTGCTATTTCCAAAGACTCCCAGCAGCACCCGAGACGGAGAGGAACCCAGTGAGTTATAGAACGCAGCATGTTAGAAGTGGGGGTGGGGGGGACTGAGAGATGAAACACTGCAGCTCCACTTTGCACAAAAGTCCCAGACAGGGGCCACAAGGTGCCAGGGTCTCACAGCTGATCAGACCCAGTCTTTTCCAACCTCTGAGGAGCACTTTCAAGCAGAGAAGCATAGTCCAGTGAACCTGGATTTGACCCTCAGCTCTGCCACCTGGGCTGAACTTTCACTCTGCCACCTGGATTTGAGCTTCAGCTCTGCCACCTGGGCTCTTAACCCTCAGCTCTACCACCTGGACTTGACCCTCAGCTCTGCCACCTGGACTTGACCCTCAGCTCTGCCACCTGGGCTTAGACTTCAGCTCTGCCACCCATACTTGAGCTTCAGGTCCGCCACCTGGGATGTACCTTCATTTCTTCCATTTGCTGATCCTGAGACCTCTCAGCCTCTTTCTTCAACTGTAAAGGGAAGAGAATCCCAAATGTGCAGGATTAAAATAAGCATGAGAACTAGAGATGTGATGCAAAGTAGCCTATGTGTGTGCAACAAAAGGTTGTTATAATTGCTCTCATTATTTTCATTTTAAGTTCTGTGTGAATAGAAATTACACCTTATAAATCATGCTCAGCCCTTAGCCCTGCTGAATGAATAAGTGAATTAATTAATTAACTAATTAATTAGCAAACAGCAGCTCTTCCTGGTCACTTGAAACAGAGCTCTGGCCAGTTACCAGTTTGTGGAGCAGCCTCTATGTGAATGCTCTCTGCTGGGCAGTTTCAATAAGCCTAGGACATTGGTCCCTGCACCTGAAAAACTTACCATCTTTCATGCAGGAAACACAAGTATGACCAGCAGAGTAAAGCTTCCTTAATTTATTTCTATATTATGGGCTCCAGCCCATGTTGTGGGAGACCAGAAAGCTAGGTCAATTCCTGAGGAATTAAGCCTAAAGCTAGTTTTGAAGGGTAGGTGGCTTCTGGAAGATACTCCTTAGAGACAGAACACAGAGGGCAAGAGAGGGCATGCATGCTGGTGGTGCAATAGAGCGGCCTCCAGCTCAGGACATCAAGGGAGGGGCTTCTTCATTGGTCTTTGGTCTTGCCTCATCTCTCTCCCTCATGTTTTTCTGCATGCTTGCCCACCAACTAGTCCAGGGCAGAACTAAGAATAGGACTTCACACCCGAGGGAAAGCCTGAAGACCTCCAAATGCATGCCTCACAAGCCAAAGATCATCCTGATGTGTAACTGGGCAGGTAACTTAGCATCTTTCATGCAGGAAACACAAGTATGACCAGCAGAGTAAAGCTTCCTTAATTTATTTCTGTATTGTGGGCTCCAGCCCATGTTGTGGGAGACCAGAAAGCTAGGTACAGGTAACAAAGATTACCTATACCAAGCTCATCAAAGTCAAACCTTCCTTCACCACTATACTCACATTCACAATTGTGACTCAGGACAACTCAGATTCAGAGTCAACCCAAAGCTTTAGTCAAACCACTATCCAGGAGACACCATGCCTTGAAGGTGCCACCTGGGTTTGAAGCTGGCCTCCAGGGCCCCACTGGTCATCCTGGCTGCTCTCTCTGCTTATTCTCTGACACAGACATCATAGCTGGATTTAATCTCCACCATCCCACTGGCTGAAGGTACCTTAGGTTGTGCTACAGATGCAGATGAAGGAACAGGAGCAGAGATTTTGAGAGAAAAATAGTAGACACTAAAGTCAGGAAGAGGCCCAAATCTAAGAGAAAAAAACAGGCATAACTTGTTTTTACAGTCCTATAAATGCCTGTCTATAGATTGTCTCTTCTCTGAGCTGCCCAAGGCCCCTCCCCACCTTTAATTCCCCCATATTCTAAGTCTGCACTTTCCTATCCACCATCAGGGCCTTTGAAAGCCATTCCTTCTTCTGGCTGTTGGCTATCAAGGATAAGAAGCAAATGTATAGCTCATGCTGACATCTTGACGTAATATAAATGCAAGCATTTTGAAATCTCTTTTTAAAAATTTTTTGAAATCTTTAAAGGGCCCTACAGATGTTATTAGCCCTGCATGTTTGCAGGGGCAGAGTTCTTAGCTGAAGGAATCCTCTCTGAAGGCGGGCACTGGTACACTGTGCTAGGGGAAGGGAGAAATGCTGAAAGGCAGCAGTTCTTTCTGGGCCCTTCAGGTCATGCCACCTCTTAAACAGTTTGGCACAAATCTTTAGGGTCACAGCAAAGGCTCAGAGCTTGGAGGGCCCTTGGAGTAGAGAGATAGGATAGGACAGGATGTGGATAACTTGTTAGAGAATGGCTTGGCAACAGGTGATGGGGGGGTTGGCGGGGGGGGGGGGGATTAGAGCAAAGAAACCAGGTGACAAAGAAACAAGCAAAAGGAAGCCAGAGAAAGAGCAGAACATGGGTTCCCCAGGCCTGGAGAAGGGGAGGGGAGGCATCAGGGCCTAAAGAGATTCCCAGAGCTTCCAGGATAGAAGAGCTGGAGAAGTTCTCCAGAGCAAGCTGGACTTCCAGGCATCAGGGCTTTCCCTTAAAGTGACCCCCATGACACTATTACTCTCATTACTAACCACTGGCAGGTAAAGTGTGCAGTGCCCTCAGAAACTGGGCAGCCTTTGTCACTAGCCTTTCAAGGCCAGGGCTGCCCTGAGTGGAGATAGAGCATCCAAACACTTTTAGGACAAGAACAAGACTCCAAGTGGGGGTGTTCTACCAACAGCCAAGCTTTCTTGAGAGCTTCAGAGAGAACCAGTCACTCTCAGATTTTGAAGGCACTCTCCCTGGCCTCTCCGCAAACATCTTACCATGGACAGATTTCAGTTAGGATTAACACTTAACTGAGGTCTCCCCCTGCTTCCCTGCATGCATTTGACCCAGGAAAACAGCCTAAATTTTAAACTCCAAGCTCAAAATTTGGATCTAATTGCCCTGCTGATCACCCCTCTCTTGCCCCATAGGTCTTGCTAAACAGCACCTTTTTAAGCCTCTGCACAAGGTCAAAGAACTCAGGAAAACTCTACAGTTCTCTCCACACAAAAGAGATCATTTCAAATCTTCCTCTTCAGCTCTGCTTGTCTTATAGCCTTGGCTCAAAAATAGCCCTCTTTTTGTAAATAAGTGTTTTCAAATTGCAGCATTATTTGTGGTGGCCAGTCCATGGAAACTACCAAAGTATTCTTCTATAGACAATTGGATAAATAAGATGTGGTACATATATACTGTGGAATAGTACTCTGCCATAACAAAGATAAAATACTGCCATTTGCAACAACATGGATGGATCTTGAAAGTATCACGCTAAGTGAAAACATCAGACAGAAGAAGTCAAGAACCTTATGATTTCACTCATATGTGGGATATAAAACTGGAAGTAACAAATGACCAATACGAACAAACAAACAAAAATGTAGGCAACAGTACGGTATTTACCAGAGGGGAAGAGGCAGGGGAGATGGTCAAGGAGATAGTAAAGGGTAGAGGGATTCAAATATATGGTGATGGAAGAAGATTTTACTTTGGATGATAAACACACAATGCAATATGCAAATGATGTATCCTATAGTTATACACTTGAAATCTATATAATTTTATTAACCAATGTCATCCCAATAGATTTTTTTAATTTAAAAAAAGTTTTAAAGAACAGCATTTTTTAGCTTGATGCTCAAACATCTCTTTGCTGATGATGATCCTACCACAAGTTCATCCTTACCTTGAACTTGGATAAGTATGAGTTTTCTGCCACTAATCCTACTCCCCTCAGATCCTCTTCCATCCTCCCCAATCCTCCACCCTCCTTGCACACTATGGCTAATACTACCATTTTGAAACAATCTGATCAAGTTACTCTCATTCAGTGGATTTTCATGCTTCTTAGGATGGAGACCAAACTGTCTAATATGGCATACATGGCCTTTCACAATCTGGGCCCTGCCTACCTGTGTGAACTGCTTCATCTGTTCCCACCCATCCACAGCCTGCCTTCACTTCCCCTCTCCTTTTGCACACACCATCATGCCATGCTCCAATCACACATGGATATTTTTGGGGAAAAGGGTAAAATATTTATAATCTTTCATTAATGCCAAAACATTTTATTTCTCAAGCACTATATAATACATTGGAAATATAAGGCCAAATCGAACCTGGGCCTTCCCACCAACCCCTCGGTGCTCACAAGGAATGACGATTAATAAGGAAGGAAAATAGATTAGTAAGGAGATAATTTCAGAAATAAGAGAAGAACAAAGTTGGAGTATGAACAAGGACCTATAGAAGCAGAAGCCCTCAGCTCTGCCTAGAGTCACTCAGGGTACATGAGTTTTGAGGTGCATGAAGAAAAGTAGGCATATTCCATTGGGCAAAGTAGGAAAGAAGATTTCAGGGGAAAAGACA